GTCCCGCGTTCGTCAGGCCCGACATCGTCGCGGCTCGCAGGACGGCCCCCCGGCGCTGTCCCATCCGGTGAGCCGATTTTGTTTCATCACCCTCAGCCACGGGCGTTGCTACTGCCCCTACCATCATCCTCCCACCACCAGTCATTGCTCGAACCACCTTTTCTTCAAATATGTGCTACCGCCTATCGAGGCATCTCTACCCGCTGCCTGAGTTGCAACACTAAGCAATGCAAGCGTGACGTTTTGCGTTGCTTAATGTCACAACTCGGACTGCGTTTTTTGGTCTAAACATATGTTTCGGCAGCGTCATTCGCTGAGCTGCCTCCGAAAGTTGCGGTGATTGGCTCTCCGAGTGTTGTGCAGGAAAGTAGACGCCCAGACTTTTTTTAGAGTGTATGGCTTCGAGATGAAGTGGCTAGAGCACAACGTGTTCACAAGGCTTGACCGACTCATTTGAACGCAATGCTTGGAAACCTTCGTCGCATTTACAGGATTTCTAGTTAAATCCTCGAAATTAGCCAATGAAGTTCGCCTTTGAGGCGGACCACTGAGTGTTTATCCCATAGGGTTAATTCACTTGACGTCAATCCGCCACTTTGTTGTTAGATGTCAGCGTGATGAAATTTATAAGCTTTTGTGCCATACCAATTTAAAGGTGTAATGTGAATCCTCGGAGTCTCTGCACGCACCAGATTGCTCATAACAACGAAATGATGGACGAAATGACGTCGGTGAAAACGCCCTACGCTCTTAGATTCTCGCGCGTCTATTTACCCGCAAAGCACTCGAAGAGCCAATCTCTGCGATCTAGGAAGTCAGCTCAGCGAATGATGAGGCAGAGCATCTGTTTAGGCATCAAAATCAAGTCTGCGCTGTGGCATTCCGCAATGCAAGCATGACGCTTTGCATTGCGTAATGCCACAGCGCAGACTTCGTTTTTAAAGTCTAAGCAGATGTTCCGCCTCATCAATTGCTGAGCTGATTTCGTAGATCGCAGAGATTGGCTCTTCGAGTGCTTTGCGGGTAAGTAGACGCGCAGGCCTGCCAAAATCTTCATATGTAGAATTCGTTCTTGACTCAGTAAATATCAACACATAGATACTTAAATGGTAGCAAAGGTATTCACTGGACGCCATATTTGAATCCGCTATTCACTGCGGATTCTCAATACCAGCTCACATTTATAGGCAGCTAAGACCGGCAGTGTTGATGGTGCAAAATACACGTTGCAAGTGGCCTGCAAAAACTCGCCGTCAGCTCACGTTCAACAGCCGCGGACTCCGCGCTACAGAAAAGTGCAGACATAGGGCCTCGACTGGTGCCCTATTCGTGCAGGCGCGTGCACTTTGCGCGTGAACATAGCTTTGGCAAGCTTGCAGTAGACTTATTGCTAAATTACCGAAGCGTCAAGGAGAACGTTCGGATTGTATGTAGACGCGCCACCGCGCGCGCCTTCCCCGTATAAAACATTTGAAGTAAATACCCAAAATAAAACGTCGACGAACGCGCGTGTAAGATGCCATTTGTTTGAGGCATTTCCTTTAGAGCAGGTACTGCTGCAGACGCCAGCACGTGCAGCGCGTGTAACTACACTCACAACATGCTCCTTTGTGCTTGGGTAATTTGGCAAAAGGTCTATCGACCTATTGCAATGTTACCCAAGCATGAAGGAGACTGCAGGGATTGGTGTTCCACGCGCCGCACGTGATGGCGTCAGCAATAGTAACTTTTCTAAAGCAAACACCTAAAACAAATTATGTCTTGCACGCGCGTTCGTCGACGCTTTATTTTGGGTATTTTTTTTTTCGACTCTTTTATACGGGGAAGGCGTGCGCGTGTGGCGCGTGGAGCGTCAATCCCTGCATTCTCCTTGATGCTTCGGTAATATAACAAATGGTCAATTGCACGGTCTTGTCCACACAAGCAGAGACACGGCGGCGGCCTGTCACTTTGCTTGAAATCGTCTGTAGACCATTCCAATGTTGACAGCTCCTCAGCCCACGGCACGATCTCCTCAGCCCAGCACGCGCATGTTTGTCGCTTAGGAATCCGAGCAAATCACGCGCTATACGCACGAACACTTAAACTGAAACCGGCCAGAAGTCCTTTTTTGGGAACAATTTATCCCCACCAGTAAATACCTCCCATAGATCTTTCCGTTTAGGTCTTTACTATACACCTTTTTGGTGTATGAGAGAGCGACAAGAATAGAACAAAATATTTGAACCTGCAAATAGTAAAAAATAGAGGTGAGGCAAAACGATAATGGGTGACGGTTGCTATTGTATCGTGAATGTCTTCTATCGGCGTAGCTGCGGCAAACAAATGTATTCGTTCATGCTGGAAGGCACGTCATTAAAGGTGACGGGGCCTTTGTGGGAAAGGTGTATAATAACCTCATTGTGTATTATCGTTCGGCTTCCCTTTCTGTTCGGACAACCCGAAAATGGATATTTCTATGTCAAAAGGAAAGGGAATTGCCAACATCTTTTCTGAGCTGTTTCTATAGACCAACACGCAGCCCTGACGTCATGCAGTTGCGGTGGCGCTGTCGGCGGCACAGCGCATGCGCAGACGCTTCACTCTGCCCAAATTCGGTTTCTGCGCACGCGCAGTGCCCACACCTGGTGTGGGCAAAGGCGAGCTTGTTTGTAAACAGCGTGTTGGTCTATACTTAACCAAACAGAAAAAAAAAAAATATTGCATTTTTTTTTGCGTTGATAACATTTTTGGTTACCTTCCCTTGTCGCCACTTAGTGTCTTGTAATGAATCCCTCTCGTAGACCCTGATTACTAACTCAATACCCGAGAGAAAGAAGAAACTTCACTCCGTAAGCGCTCTCTAATTCGACCAGCAACAGCGGCCCTTGCATTTTCGGGAGAGATCGAGCCCACGTGGGCCGATGATGGAAGACTGGTATCCTGATTATAGGATGTATACACTGGCGGCCAAAGCTATGTGCGCGACTTCTGAGCGCTAGCTGACTGCGAGATTCCACAGTTCTTTCGCCACGTTGTATTCCGCGCCATCACGATGGCCGCTCTTAACAGCCGTTTAAAGGAAGCTCGCTTTGAGCATGCGCCCTAAACATCGCCCTCAAATATGGCGTCTAATGAACGCCCCCTATACGAAGGCTATGGACAAACGCGCTCTTTACAAGTAATCGATTGCTTTCCCACACTTTGGTGACTGAAAAGCGTCTCCGAATGGTGTGTTTAGCGCGTCCAAAAAAGTAGTTTCTCAATTTCCGCCTGATGACGTCATAGAAGCGTCATGCCGTCACCGGTCGCGATCCTGACGGTGTCCCAGCAGCGGTGGTGCATGTGGCACACTCCATGCTCTGCTGCAGGTTGTGACTCATACAGCAGAGCGCTACAAGCATAGCGCTAACCTCGCGCTACGCGCGTGCTGACGGGAGCGTTCACAAGCTAATTAAATCTCACGTCGTTTCGTCAAAAGTGCGGGTGGAAGATTAAACCTACTAGAGCAAATTAAATGTCATTTCATTAAAAAAAAACGGTGCGGCGACGGAGTTTGGAAGAAAATGGGAGGAAACAAGCGCTTGGTTGTCGGCTGCCTTCTTCCGTCGTCAAACGTGCATTGCCGTAAAAAATAATCGCCAAATGAGCGTTATTCTTCTGTTCATTATGAATTGCGCAGCAATACGAGTATAGATGTTGAAAATATATCAAAATAAAGTTTAGAAAGCCTTAAAACAGAGGAGTTATAACTTAGTGTTGTCTGATATTTGTTCATGTAGTGTGTGCATGCATTTGAGGAAACCAATTTTTATGTCGTATAATGCATATTTTCTGACTAATACACTGTCACGCCCTTAGTCACTTAGTCAACGATAATCCTGGGACGCAACCGAGCCTCCACTATTGCACCGCCACATGTACATACCTTTCGTTTAATATACCATCATAATTAAGGAGCGGCTTCTACAAGTTAAGTGTTACAGTAAACTCAATACAGCATTTAGCATGATGAACAGTGTATTGTCATTGCCAGATGCGTAGTCAAAAGTGCGCTAAATTGACAGTGCCGTTCATGAAAATAATATAAGGTAATAGTACCACCTCGAAAACTCGCGAAAAACTCGCCGTTGTTGATCTATGTCCGTATCTTTTAAAAAATTGCTAAAGTACTCTCGTTGCGGTCATTTCTTTTTTTTTTTTTTTTTTTTTTCTTCTTTTTCTTTCTAGACGGTTTTAAGTTTTGGGGGGAAAGTTTTTTTTTTTTTTTTCCTTTTTCAGAATTTCTGGGAAATTTGCATTCCTACCGCAACGGTGTAACGTCAGCGCCGCGTGTTGGTGCATAAGCTAAACTGGCTCCGCTCGTGGTCATTCGTAAGAAAAAACGAAACACGTGGAGCCCAACGAAATGAACAGATGCAGAGCGCTGCTGACGTCTCCCACCGAGATCCACCGATTTTGGTGAAGCGTTTGCGGCGCTGTGGGCAGCGCCCCACGCACTCCACACCACGTTTTCCGTGCAACCGTGAACCAGCACTGCACCAAACTGACATGAGGAAAACGTTCACCTTGAGTCGTACCTGTCGGCTGGAGATGCTTTGGGCGCCCTCCAAGTCCACCAAAAAAAAATTAAGCATCAAAAAACCATGTACGGGAAATTGTTCAGCCTTACGGCCTTTAGTTGGCCTAGTTGGTTGTCTTCGTTTATTACTTATATTTCGTGGTTTTTCGTGGTTTTATTTTCCAAATTCAGCTGTCTATATTAACAACTATTGTTTAGGTTTATCATGGATTTATGTACGAATCTGCGGCAAATAATTTTAGTATATTTTATTTATTTGTATGTGTGTTTACTTTCTTGTTTCTCGTTTCACTTCAATAAATCCCGAAAACCTCGCAGGTAAGACTCCGAAGATGACAGAGGAGGACGAAGATGATGACGACGCCAAAAAGAAAAAGAAGAGCAAAAGCAAGAAGAAAGGGAGCAAAAGCAAGAAAAAAAAGAGCAGCAAAAGCAAAAGCAAAAAGAAAAAGAGCAAGAGCAAGAAGAAGAAAAGCAGTAAGAGCAAGAAGAAAAAGAGCAGCAAAAAGAAGAGCAGCAAGAGCAAAAAGAAAAAGAGTAGCAAGAGCAAAAAGAAGGGCGATGGAGACAAAAAGAAAAAGAAGTCGAAAAGCAAGTCCTCCAAAAAGAAAAGCAGCAAGAGCAAAAAGAAAGGCAGCAAATCAAAAGGAAAAAAGAAGGGGAGCAAGTCTAAAAAGAGCAGTAAGTCTAAAAAGAGCAGTAAGTCTAAAAAGAAGAAGGGGAAGAAGGGAAGTAAGTCTAAAGGGAAAAAAGGAAAAAAGAAAAAGAAGGGCCAAGAGGAAGGATCCGAGGAAGCTGGTGGAGACGATGTGAAGACGCAAGCAGCCACAGCTGGAACAACTATTGCTCCAAGTGCTGTGGGTACCGCAGCACCACCTGGCTTTCTATACGCTCCTGGGTCCCCCGGGTACCCGGGGTCTTACAGTCCAGCCCTCAGGGGTGCCCTGAGAACCGGACCAGGGGTTCCGGGAATGGCACCCAGGTACTCGCCGCGCTTCGCCCCAATGCCTGGAGGAGGGGTGACCGCCAGAATAAGCGTCACGTCTCTACCAGTTACGGGCGGTGTGAGACGCTACCGCCTGATGCCAGGTGCCAGCCCTTCCACGGTTTCGATTGGGTCGCAGAGGGGAAGCAGCATTGTTGTGGCCGTCAAACGCAGGAGGAGGTCGAGCAGCCTTCCGAGTTCGTCGTATTCCTCTATGCAGATGGCACAAGCTCCCCAGTATTATAGGGGCAGTCCTTACACGACTGGTTATTACGACGACATGTCGGAAAGCTATTACGACGACGAACAGTACTCGCTGCCTAGTCTAGATTACGAGGGGAGCTACTATGCGGATGAGCTCGTGGGCGATCAGTATACAGGTGATGCGTACAGGCGACCAGCGGACGACGGCTTTACCTTTCCGCCCCAAATTCACATGCAGCCTCCAGCACAACTGGCCGAACCGTATTCACCCATAATTCAAATTGCGATGCAACCGCCAGCTGAACCCTTCTCGCAAGTTCCGTTTACTGCGAATCCACAACTGGTGACTTATCCTCAAATGCAGACGCAATTTCAGCAGATGCAATCAGTTCAAGAGTCCTCAAAGCCTATCATCATTCATCACCAGTCCCTGTTACCCCCGGGACAACCGCCAAAGCCCATTATAATCCACCATCAAACACCTAACATGCACGTTCAGATCTCATCTACGTCCAACAGCACAACTTCGGTTGATCAGGCGCCACCGCCAACCGGAGCATTCAGACCACACAGAGCCTATTCTCCGCCTCCACCGCATTACCACGACATGGTCCCACCATCACCGATGCATATGCATTATTCTCCGCCACCTCCAATCCAGGAGTATGCGATGTCTCCACCACCGCCGATGAGGCGGCCCCGTAGGTTCCACTCGATGCCTTCACCTACTATGATGACAACCTCTATAATGCCATCTCCGGCAACGTCAATGATGATGCAGCCTATGATTGCACAATCACCGCCGCCTCCCATGATGATGCCGAATTCAATGTCTCCTTTCCCGCCTCCTATGGCGGCGTCGCCCTCACTTTCTGCGACGATGATGCCCATGATGCCTCCAATGATGTCGCCTATGATGCCGCAAATGATGCCATCAATGACGCAGCCCATGATTCCGCCTGTGATGCCTCCCATGATGCTACCCATGATGTCGCCCATGATGCCTCCGCCGATGCAGTACCCTGGCTATCCCCAGCCCGCAGTGTCCAACACGGAGAAGATATACTACCGGGTGGAAAAACGGGGCGAATCTTCGGACAGCGATTACGACTACAGAAAGCACAGGCGGCGCGGCCAGAAGTCTCGGAGAAGGCGTCGGAGGTCGTGGCACCGCTCTTCTTCTCCCTCGGACGAAACATCCTTAAATTCGCTGCGCAGCGTGTCGTCGGCTCCCGCCACCCTGACGCCCGTCTTTCAACAGTATCAACAGTTGGCTCCATACCAGGCAGGGGCCTTCCAGCAGCCGAATATGCTGACGTCACATGCGGTGCCCCAGGCGCCCTACATCACGGGAATTCCGGACAGCAGTCAGGACCTCATGTCCATCGAAAGGGCTATGAAGAAGATGTATATACAGAGATTTCCCAGGTGAGTGAGGCACTCCTATAATACCCTCACACGAGGCAACGTCACTACCTTGAAAATTTATCTGCGATTTCGATTCGGAAAGCACTAGAAACCGTTTTGTTTGTACGCAGCCTGAAAGCACCAGAACGTGGAACCAAAATGTGGTCTTTATAGTTTCCATTCCGGTGGTCTACTCTGTACAACTAGGCGTTGTCTAAGTAAATGACAACTGCAGCGAAATCCCAGAAAGATTACATTACTTGGAGACTCGCTGCCTCTAAGAAAAAACAGCTTTGAACGCATGTCCCAACGTTTACATCGTGCTTCTAAACTAACTTTCCGCATTGATGCGATGCTCCTTCTTTCCTTCTTTCCAGCGAACCGGACAGGCAGTCGCTATTTCCGGAGCGGTCCCTCATCATCATATTGGTGATGGTATTCATCTTCGCCGTACTCGTGGTGGTCCTAGCTGTAGTGCGCTCGTCCTCTCCAAGTGAGTTTATCACTTTTGTAACTTAATATTGTCATGCTGCTGTCAGTTAGAATGCTCACGCAATTATAAAAGGTGTCCTTGGCGCTCATGCAAGGAAAAGTTCGCGTTCGTGCTCGTTGTTGTCTTCAGTCGGCGGTGTACCGTTGCGGAAAACAGATCTGTGAAAAACTGTCATTTGGTGATTCAGTATTGGCGCGGCGAAATTGAAATATATATAACAGGCACTTTGTCTAACTTGTTTTGCGCACAATTTGCTGTTTACTCGACACGAGGCCTTTATGAGAAATCGTGTAAAATACTTGTCAATCGACTCTTCCCCCGATTGCTCAGAATGGGTTTTTATGGGCTCGTGCCAAACAATTTGGTGACAAAGGAACTACCCCCCGAACCTCACGAGCGCGCTCGAACACTCGTGCATTTGCATCGCTCTGTGTGTTTTAGCTGACGCTAAACACAAAAAGCGATCAGATGAACGACTTCCTTCAGTTACAATGCGATGCTGCACAAGCCGTTTGCCTAATAAGATTTTCAACTGCAGTTTATTTTTTAAGAGAAGCTCAAACAGTGCCACAGCTGAAGGTCCGTTATGGCATTCGTTCCCAAGCAGCCAAGCTTCAAAAGGTAGTCTGGTTACCGTGGGTGGAAAACGCCTTGTTGGGCTACGAAGGGGAAGCCGAAGAAATTCAATCCAATTCAGTTGGGGCACCGGTATGGCCACCGTGAGCTCCCCATAGCAAGGCGTGGCTATATCGGGCAATCTTCACACACCAGTGGCAAGATGGCGCCGCCCACAGGCCTTACTTGCATGCGTGTATAAAACAAGACCCTACTCCAGTGCCGCTACATGTCAAATTCTCACGGGGAGACCACAGCTTTTTTTATGTCTGGCAACACTAGAAGCTTGATGTTTAAATGCCGTCATCTAGAAAAAAAATGGCTCAGGGAGGAAGCTAGTTTTCTTCATGTATACTACCAGCCATTTTAGGCTTTCGTATTGCGTAGCCCGGTGATGATTTTAGAGCGCAGCTCTTGGGCGCCCGTTTCCGGCTTGAGCGGCGTCGGCGTCGCCGTCGGTGTCGGCGTCCGCATCGGCGTCGCCGTCGTGACGTGACCCTGGGGGGTAATTCTATATTTCAGAGCACAGCTCTTAGGCGGCCGTTTCCGGCTTGAGCGGCAAGGAAGGCAGCAGTAGGAGGGAGCTGGAGGAGGAGGGGGAGGAGAGAGGAGGAGGAGGCGAGGGGAGGAGATTGAAGGATGAGGAGGAGGTGAAGGGGAAGGAGGGGGAGGAGGAGGAGCAGGCAGAATCAGTAGGGAGGAGGAGGGAGGAGGGGTATACCCTCCCCTCAGTACCCTTCCCCCCTCCTTCTCAAGAGCTGCGCTCCAATTCGGCGTTACAAGGAGTTGTAAACGGCTTTCATTTTTATCTGTGAATTTTGGATGGAACCGTATACCTGTTATAATCCGTTATGCAGAAAAACTAAAGAATATACATTCGTGGATGAAAACTTTACAAACGTACCAGTGAACACAATACTTTCATGCACATTAGTCATTAAAAGAATCAGCACTATTTTGTATATCTCCTTTTATTATTTCCTTTTATATAAGAAACTCTGTAAAAAAACGTTTTTTTGCGGCTTGTTTTTAAAACGAGTTTTTTTTTTCTGTAATACTTTTTTTTAGCCAAGCCAGCTTTTGCCATGCAAGAGCTGTCAAGGTCTCAAAAAAAGGCAGGGAGCTCTCGCGCCACGCAGGACAACCGAAGTATACTGTGCCTGGAAGGCGTCCGGTGTGCTTACTCGCAGCCTAGAGCCTTACCGCATCCTCTCTGTTCCTCGATTTCTCCTGACGACGTCCTGCCGCCATTCTGGCGACAGCTCAGCAGCAGGGGTGGAAACGGTCAGCGTCCTAGGCGGTACCGAAAAAAAAGTAACCAAATACGTGGCTCGTCACTCGCAAATAAAAAGAACGCGCTACCATTACCGGTAAAAGTATAACTCACGTTACTTGGGCGTTACTTTTGCTTTATAAAAGCGACAGCGTTTTCCGACACTGGGACATGGGCGTCTCGAGTTTTCCTATAACGTGCAAGTGTTTTGCGTGGGGAAACAGGAGGCACGTACCTTTTTAATGCGGTAGCGTTTAGGAGCTCGTGTCGCAAAAAATCCGTCGTCTGCGTTGGTGTCGGCGTCGGCGTCAGTGGGACGAAAAAATTCCATGGTGCAACGCGCGCAGCCACGTGTGAGGTCACACGCAGTTGTAACGTCATAACCGGCTAAATTTGTTGGGAAATTTTAAATGAAAACACGTGACGTCATGTAACGTCACGTGACACGTGACGCTACCGACCAGACCACGCACACACGCTTCCACGGCTTGGGAACAAGCGCGGGCTTAATGAGAAGGCTCTGCGACCGGGCCCCGATCACGCTAACGCGTTCCACTCTTAATGGCGAAGATTAAGGCTGTGTTCCAAATCTTACAAAATAGATCCGAGTTACTCCGGCGGACCGTATCACGTGACAGCACAGACCGAAAAACGCCGTACGCGGGTAGGTTTTAGAACGCCAAGGGTACAAAACCCTTACCCTGGAGTAAGATGGAGTAAATTTTGGAACACAGCCTTGTCCCAAGTTGTAGTTGCTTTTTTTTTTTTTAAGGAATGCGAGTTTAGTACAATGGTTTATGAGAAACATAACGAAACAAAACAAAATTATGTGTAATTTTTTTAAGTAATCGAAAGAAAAAGTAACAAGTAACGTTTCCAGATTACCCGTTGCTCGAAATGAGTAACGTAAGTATGTTATGCGTTACTGTTTGAAAACTTTTAACGAGCGCGTTACTACATTACCTGAAAAAGTAAGGCGTTACCGGTAATTACCGCATAAATCGCCTTGGTGACGTATCTTTCGAATGAAGGGTGTGTTAGCGTCAGCATTAGCGGGATGGACATCACCCATTTTGAGTGCCCGCCATATTGTATTAATACCGAGACCGCTGAGGCGGTCGGATGGATATCCGGCTCGCACTCAAGTTACGAGTTTGTATCAACTTACGTTATCATTCTTTCTAAATAAACCACCCAGTTTTCTATTACAGATGGTTATTTCTAAAACCTTGGCGTTTGATTCGGACTGCTAGCGTTGCATTTGGGCGGAAAATGAGAGTCCGGCAATACGTCCTTTATTTTTGCGGGGGAAACAAAAACTAAATTTTTTGGGAGCCGACACGCTGTAGATGGCTGTCGTTCCTTTCCGTTCCCATGTTGGGGTGCGTGAATGTTTATACAGCCTAGAACTTAGTCTGCCCCAGCGGGCGACTTGTCTTCCAGCTGCAGATGAGAAATTTAGCCAGTGCAGTACAACCACCGCTAGCCTGGGGTCTTTAGCGTGCTTCACGCAGTAGTGATACGCGACCGCACGCCGGTACGATGCTCAGCCAGATATCCCTATGTTCTGCAGCGCGAGCTTTCGCTCCGCGTGCTGCGAGCTGGTGTGCTAGCCCACTCGGCCACCGATCCCCCCGACTGTTACTGTGTTCGTCCGACGCAGCGTACCTCGGGGGAGACACGGAGGCCCTGCCGACCCTAAAAACGAACCCTCCGTCGACCGAACTGACGACCAGCGCACTCAACTCCACTGTCCGGTTGTTCGCAAGAAGACGACACTAGCCGACGCAAGACCGCCAAGCTCTTTCGACAAACGTACAATTTATTGTGATGGTGTTTTTCTCTTTGCTTGTGTTTGCTTGAACTGTTCATTAAACAACAAAACAAACAGCAAGAAAGTTTGTATCTTTGTTTAGAATGGTGTCAGTGATAGAGGTTTAGCTCATGCAACCATTGTCAAAATCAAATGCATATTTCTTTTTTCTTTTCTTTTTTTTTTTTTTTGCTTTGTACTTTTGCTTGTATGGAAGACGCTATCGTTGTTTGCTATGATCGAAAGCGCGCGTTTCTAGGCACGGAACCGCAAGGGCATTTTTTTTAGCTCTGACTGCTTTCGTGCAATCATCGAAATAAGTCGCGTTTTCGGATCACACATGAACAGCCACTGCGCTGCCAGCCGCGGCGCCTCTAGTGGCGATTCTTATCTGTCACGCGCCCACTGTCTAGAGAGGCTGACGAGATTCCGCGAGGAGAGCACGTCAGAACCAGATAACGCAGCCTTAGCGCCACCGGGCCTTGTGCGCCTTCGTTTGATATGCGTATACCCTAGGAAACAAAAACAAAAACTTACGCCGACGCCGACGCCAAACTGTCCTCCGAGCCTCTCTGGATATACAATGTTCATGCAAATGGATAGCGGCCCGGAGGCTACACTGTACAGAGCGGCAACCCTTGTCGCAAAACACATCTCCGTCATAAACCATCCCTTCGAGCAGCATAGACATATACCCCACACATTACTCGAAATCCTACCCAAGAAAAAGACGCTCCCCAGCCTCTTCGTGCCCAACGTCTATAGCTCCCCAAGCCAGAAGGCCGATGACTTCAGAGCCCTCTTCCACGATGCGATCCAAGTTGTTCAGCCCCGAACAAACTCCCTAGTGATCGTGGGCGACTTCAATGCGGCCCACCCGACCTGGGGATATGTAAAGGAGAACCCCAAGGGACGCAGGTTAGCACAAGCCATTGCCAACAATCACCTTACCATCATGACAGAACCGGAACACCCCACAAGAACGGGCAACAGCGTTAGTCGCGACACGTGCCCAGACTTCACCCTAGTCCGCACGCAGACCTCGTGTAGCTGGTCCAACCTGGACGAAACGCTGGGAAGTGACCACTACATCCTGGAGACCGAGGTGTGCGATGGAGGCCGTAGAACACGAAAGCTTCGACCCGCTCGACTCACGAACTGGGACCAGTTCAGACAGCAGCGAGGGAGCACCGAGAGCGTAGACATTAGGGAGTTTTAGAATAGCGCACGCTAAAGCTTTGCGCACGCAAAGAATAGCGTCGTCGCCACTGCGCATGCTCCGAACGCAAACCAGGTTTTGCGCTTTGCGTGCGCAATTTTAGCGCGCGCTATTTCTCGGAAATAGCGTGCGTACGCAAAGAGTCTTTGCGCTTCTCCAAGGAGGGTTCGTGATGAGAAGTTGGCTACAGCCAAGACGAGCACAGTTAAAAAAAAATGGCGGCTTCCAGGATTATGTCGGCGGCTGTTTTGGCGGCGTCGTGAGTTCGACGTCGGCGGCATCCTCGCGACTGCAATTTTCAATACGGGACGACATTGCACTCGGTTTGGCAGCGATCACCGGCAACTTCATGCTTGCGACGCGCGAACATTTCACGGCGAACGAACGATGTGCGAAGGTCAGTACACGAGACCTCTCTTGCCGAGGCGACGCAAGCGGACACGACCGGTCAACCGCTCGCGTCGCGTTCTCATGTTTAAACAAATTAAGATGCTACTCTGGACCAAAAAACTCGTTTTTTTCTTCTAAAGTTACACCATTTCGTGTGTGAAATAAAATTTTTTACTGTATCTTGGTGGCGTCGCAAGCGCGAGATGCTTGGGCTTTTGCGTCGCGGCGGAGAAACGCTATTCTAAAACTCTCCTGCGTCGCGTGCGCTAATACAAGCGCTAAATTTAGCGCTAGCGTGCGCTAAAATTGCGTACGTTATTCTAAAACTCCCTATTAGAGAGTATTAGCTTACCGCCTACCGGGCGACCGGGGGGTTACCGCGACCGTCACTGCAGAACTGCGCATGCGCCAATTATGCCACGCTACTCGGTTTACCGCGTTTACCGTCAATGGCGACTGCCGGGCATCGGCTCCGACGGCCGGCGTAGACTAATCACTTACTGTTTTGGAATGGCGGGGGAGGCGTCTAGAAACAATCGTCGCACCACATAACATGGGAAAGGGCAAGTGAAGCGGCTCTGGTTGGCCTATAAAGGCTTTCGCCTACCCGAGGTCCATAGCGAAAATCCGGGCTTCCATGGCCGCCGGACAGGCCGGTTGAATAGATGGATGGTAACTGCTATGCCCCTTGTTTCGGGCGGCAACCTGAGCCACCTAGCCGACATTAGAGACTGGTGCAGATGGCAATGGAGCTGCGAATGCAAACAAGCAGCGTACAGGATGATGCTGTTTGCTTGCATTCGTGGGAGAACGGTGGCCGAGTGGGCTAACGCACCACAGCTCGGAGCACGTGTAGCGAAAGCTCGCGCTGCAGAACTCAGAGCACTGGGTTCAAATCCCCGTCCCTGCCCGGTTCGATCTGGACGAGCATCGTACCGGCTGCGTTCGTATAACCATGACTGGTGGTGCACGTTTGGCTTGAGGCGCGACCAGTATCCAACAGCATAGCTGACAAATTAAGTTACTTGGTCGTATACCAAGGAAGTACCACTATAACTACTCGTAATGAGGAAAATATTTTTTAAAAGTGGCTTTTTATGCGGCATTTGTCCAAATAAATGTACCGCTTTAAAAACGAACCACGCCGGTATTCACTATCATCATCATGACTTTTTCCAGCCGTTGGAGAAAGAAGAAACTTCCATAGGCGCGGTCAGGCGCGGTTACGGTATGCTAAAACGTTCTTTACCCGCTACGCTCTCGGTCCGGTACCGGCTCGATGGTCGCGGTCGCGGTAACCCCGGCGGTCGCCCGGTACGCGGTAAGCTAAAACTCTCTATTATCTCCATCCAGGAGTGGACCCAACGGCTCCATGAAGACATTGATCGGGCAACCAAGAAAGTCAATACTACCATCGACACCCCAGCGATAGACCCCCATCTCCTCCACATGTGGGACGCCCGGCGAGGACTCACCAAGCGGTGGAAGACGCAGAGATTCAACCGCAAGCTGCGACTGCGCATTGCCGAGCTCAACCAAAAGGCGGAAGACTACGCAACCACCTTGGCGGAAAGCAATTGGAACCAACTATGCCACGGGCTGCGTGGTATGCTTGGGACCGCTAAGACTTGGGCAATCCTCCGATCCTTGCTGGACCCGTCGCGCTCCAAGACCGAAACATCCAAGGCCGTGACCAAACTTCTGCACGGACTGCAGCGGGACGAACCCTCCATCGTGAAGGAACTAGAATCCCGATACCTCGCAGCCGGCCCACGCCCCGACTATGCAGAGTACTCCTACACGGAAGAGCCGAGCCAGCTAGACGCGGCCTTCACCGAATCAGAGATACAAGCTGTCCTCACCAAGCTTACGCGCACCACAACCCCGGGGAAAGACGGAGTCACATACAAAATGCTGCACATCCTCGACGACGCTTCCATTACGGCGCTCACCCGATATTTCAACGAGGTCTGGAGGACAGGAAGAATCCCGGAGGAATGGAAACACGCGGACATTACACTTATCCCTAAGCCTGGCAAGCCACTGGGACTTCAAAACCTACGACTCATTTCACTTACGTCTTGTGTGGGGAAACTCATGGAGCACGTCGTCTTGTCACGACTACAACCATATCTCGAGGAACAAGAGTACTTTGCGGACACCATGTACGGATTCCGACCACGCCTCTCCACGCAAGATGTCCTCCTCCAACTAAAGGAAGAGGTCCTGGACTTTCAAAGCCAAGCACAGGCGAGGGCGGTGCTAGCCATCGACCTCAAGGAGGCTTTCAATAATGTCTCGCACGATGCTATTCTACGCAACCTCACCGAGACCCACTGCGGTACAAGGGCGTACAACTATGTGCGATCTTTTCTTATGGATCGAACCGCCACCCTGGGGATTGGTGACATCCGCTCGGACCCCATTCGTCTAACAGGACGAGGGACACCTCAAGGATCAGTTGTATCGCCCTTGCTGTTCAACGTGGCAATGGCAGGCCTCCCGCACAAACTCAACAAAATCCCGCATTTGCGACACGCCCTCTACGCCGACGATATCACGGTGTGGACCACCACGGTCGGAGGGAAAAATCCAGGACAGACTGCAAGAGGCAGTCAACGTCACCCAAGACTACGCGGGAGCGGCATGGCTAACCTGCGCAAGTGAAAAATCCGAGCTCCTGGTGATCCGAAAACGCTCAGTACTGAACAAACACGCGCCGACCATCGACCTTTAGCTAGGAAATACACCTATACCCCGGGTAGAGCGCCTACGAATCCTTGGCATGTACCTCCAAAACCAG